GATTCTGTGGCACCCTATTGCTGTCCATCACCCTGTTGTGTCAAGGTAGGTAGAGGGACCTGCTGTGCCACATTGCTGCAGTAACTCCAGGTCAGTTCTACAGTACCTGGCTTTGGGATTTTAAGTTATGTTGTTGTAAAGCAAGGAATTGAACAAAAGCAGGTTGTAAAATCTACCCATGGAGCAGCATAAATACAGACTGCAGATGAGCCCCAGCCTTGCACAGCTATGCATAATCAGTCCCTGAACTAGTCAGAGTGTACCTCCACAAGACAGGACTCTTGTGGGGAGTCTAGTATGCAAAATCCTTGCTTTTCATGAGATACACACTGCAATGGGAGATGTTCAAATAATCTCCACATAGTGCATCACAACTGAATTCAAAGCTGAGTTTTAAAACAGATCAATTTGAGAGCATTTATTCACATGAGAAACTGAGTGAAAATAGTGGTTCTAATTATCTGTTTAATTTTTGAGATATCCATCTTGAAGGTAACACCTCTCTCATACAGCTTGAGAATTTACTTGTCCTGTGCCTTTACCCAGGAACACCCACAAACCAGGAGGGGTGGATTTGAGTTTCAGGGCCTCCATTCTCTTCTCCTTCCACTGGTGTGGTATCCTTAAAGCAAAGGCAACAGTGGAAACAGAGACCTCTTGCTTATACAACTTTGCTTCTCTAGAAGCTCGTGGGAGTATTTACATATGACATTGTGTGACAGCTGAATAATGCTTTTAATAAAAACATAACTCAGTGTCTCCAGCCTGGTAACTCTGCTTTTCATAACATGCTTTATCAATGTCAGGAAGCTGTCAAAAGCTATAAATGGCACTGAAGGAAAGTGCTAATGTCGTTTCCCCAAGTCTCTGATAATGGGAAAATATTAACACGGAGATATTAAACACAAGATACTTCTGGTTCTAAATATGCAGGGATTTTAACTCAACTGAAGTGTTTAGAGAACGTGGACAGATTTTTCAGCCAGCATGAATCAGTGTAGTTTATATTGACTTCAGCTTAAACAAGCTGACTTCTCCTGGGGATGCAATAAAAATATTGACAAATCTGCTGTTACTCATTGGAAATAGTGAGTTGGGCAGAAACAGATTCAGCATGTGGCCAATTCAGTCTCAGCTGGGTTTTGAATTGGAGGCAATATTAGAGGACGTGGTTAAGTCATTCTCTAGAAAGCCCTAGAGCAAGTCAGGGTGCTGTAAGGACCTCGGTGCTCCTCCATGGCAGCATGGTCAGCAAAGCAGAGCCCTCACCCATAAGGGGCCAAGGATGCCAAGAAGCCAGGGCAGGATCAGGTCCAGGGCAGTAATTGGCATCAGACACAGCCAGGTGGTCACCAAGCAAGTCCATAGCAGCAAGACACATACATACAAGGGAAAGTCAGGAAGCTGAGCCAGTGGAGCTGGATCAGGGCCAGAATCACAGCAGCCGGAGCCAGGGCACAGTCAGCACTGCAGCACAGCAGCAAGGTAGCACAGGCGGGGCCAGGGGTACAGCAGCTAAAAAGTAGCTCCCAGGTGGCAGGAGGAGTAGGCCTTTGCTTCTGTGTTTCTTCACCACAGCTCTTATCAGCAGAGTTATTGACCTTGGACATAGCCAGCTATGCTCCAGAAGGGGATTTGCCCAGAGTCCTGGAAAGGAGGAGGTTCAGTTTTTCCATCCCTGTTTAGAATCATAATTTTCCTCACCTTCTCCTAATCTCCTTGGACAGATAGCAGTCAGGAGAGAACTAATTGTTGACTGACTTCACAATAAAAGAAGAAAGCAAGTGTATTTAATTTTGAAAGTACGTCTAGAGGATTACAAAACAGCTTCAGATAGCAGTAGAGCTTTTTAACATTCTGTTTGCTCTTTGCAGGGAGTATGAAAACCCAGGGGATTATTCTTGTAGACAAAGTAATCCATTAGAGGAACTGGTCCATCCTTGGTGAAAAATCACACAAAATACATGTTATTGCTACTATTGCTCCCACTACTAAACATATCTGCCACGTTGGAGGGGCTGGGCTGTTAATGTGACTTTAATGCCAAGTAAGGACAGGCATCCCAGGTAGGCTTGAAGTGGATGGGCAGCCCAGCAGCTTCCCTCACCCCTTTGAAGGTTCTGTACAAATGCAGACACATCTGGAAACAAAAAAATACTGATTAATGTGGGTGCTTTCATTTTATTCATTTTATGCTATGTACAGGCATAAGTCTGGGTGGTGATAGGAAAGTAACGGTGAAGGTAGCAGGCACACTGAGAGCCAGAGAGGGCCCAATTATAGTATTAAATATGCTGATTTTTCAGTGTTTGTCACATGACTTAAATATCAGCAATTTGGAGGTGAGCAGTCACCTGTAAATGAGATGGAGCATAAGTTTGGTTTGAAGAAAGGAAAAATTAGAAAGTGTTCAGAATCAGACAGGGAGACCTGACTCAGAGGTTAATTCTGATGCTTCATGGGACTCCTCACTGGTGGAATAGCTTCTCAGTGTCTCCCTTAGGAAGAGGGAGCAACCTGCCTGCTTGTGGAGGCCAGCGATTCCCTCCTGAACCAGCAGGAATCTAGTATCTCTTATCTGCTTCTAAGGATGGAAAGAGACATTTACAGGGACCTGATCCCACCAAAGAGCAGTTTTTCAGACATGGTGCCCTGAAGAGCTTCAGGGACTCCTGCAGGAGACAGCAGACAGGGCCCTAGGGGTGTATGGAGCTGAATGCCCAAGTGAGTGTTTGAAGTAACCACTGTCAGAGAATCTGGATCCAAAATGATTGAATGTCCAGGGCTCTTCTTTTCTAGATGCATCATGGTTTGTGATGGAATGGGAGACTGGGAAAATTAGGGACATTTTTCCCCCATCCTCATTCCACACATAGCTAAGATCCAACAGATGCCTCATAAACAGCTCTTTCTCAGCACCAGCTGGTACAACCTCAAGCCTGGATGTTGCTGTTAAATCTGTGTACGTCAAGACCAATATTTGGTACATGCTGGCTTTTTATATGGGATAGGAAGTAACTGCAAAGTTTTAGCTGTAAAATAATACAACTCAGGAATATTTCAGGAAACCTGAAAAGTTACATGAAATGATCAGTGCAAGAGCGTCCAATCATTCAGCTTTCAGAAATTCACTGAGTTAGACCTGTATTTCTGTGTGAAAAGCTTAAAAACATGACTTTGTATATTTACTGATCTAGCAGTTGGAAAATTGCTGTGGGAAATTAGCAGTTTGAACTTTTTTGACTTCTCACATATTGGTTGCTCTAAGCAAGGTTCAGGTATGGCAAAGAGGCTTGTCACTGCTGCAGTCTCACATACAGAATACATGAAGAAAAATGAGGCAAAAGTGTGTGTCTAAGGAATTTTTCACAATTAGGTAACCTCGAAAGAGACTATGTTGGCCCTGATTTTGCCAGAATGGAGGATCAAATGGGTTTAATGAAAGGTAAATAATTCACAATAATTGTTTCCCATGTTTTCATCTTCCCCCAGAAGAGAAGTTTTCCCAGCCCATAGCAGGAAATAATGGTCCAAGAGAGAAGAAGCAGATAGGGAAAAGCAAAGCTCTTGTAGATAAAGCTGTTGTAAATGTTGCTGTGGCCTGCAGTGGGATACTCCTTTGCAAAACTTTGAGAGCTAATCTGTCCAAGAGTTCACCTTGATTAAGTCATGGGGAATTCCAAAGTAATCAGCTCCTGATTAAATTCAGAGGAGTTGGATAATCTGATGCTTTGAACTCAATCTATTCTACTCTGGGTATCCTGCATGCCTTACTCTGTGTTACAGGAAGCTAAGTTTGTTTCCTCAAACTGTTGGAAAGAGGGCTGACATGGGATGGAGGCAGATCACGTGGAAAAGATTTCAGGGATGAAATGTCAGGCCACCCAGCTCTTTATCTGAAGAGAGCTAAAAGAAGGCATCCTAGGCAAATGATTACTAAGCAGTAACAATGCGTTCGAGCCACAAAAAATAAGTGACTGCAGGGATCCCTTGCTTCACTTGACCTAAATACACACGTATTTCTTCTTTGAATATTTTATAGTGCTCTGGCTTGTAGCTTGCATTCCACTTCCGTGCCTTGGTTTGAATGTTGTTTTCCTATGTCATTTGGAAAAGTCTCAAGAGAGAAAAGATAAGAAAACCATTTTTAAAAGAAAGAAAAATTAACAAAATGGGCATTTCCATCCCTAGTATCTGGGGCAACAGACGGGATGGTGAAAAATATGCCTGCAGGGCAAAGTTCTGCTCCAATCACTTTTGTGCCCACAGCGGACAGTTTTAATTTAAAGCACTGAGGATTATGTGCTATGGAGCTACACTTTGTTAATTTATTACCCTTCATGTTAATCCGGTGTATAAATCATGACAACAGGCAAGTGTGTAGCAAAAGGTGTAGACTGCTCTGTCCTAGCAAGCAAGCAGACTTAGAAAATGTGGGAGTTTTTTAAACTGACATGTAAAGTTTTCTTCATATTTGAACCTCCTAATCTATGTTAAAATATCCCATGAGCCCACTAACAGTCTTCTAGAGAAAAGACAGAAACTACCATATATAAAATGGGGGGAGGGAAAGTTTGATAAATAAACTATTTTCAGTATCTAGTCTCTAAGAATTTATTAGGATGAGGTAAAGAAAATGATTCAGAATTTTTGGCTGGCCACTTTGTGATAACACTGAGTCAAAAAAAGAAAGTTTTTCTGTTGTTGTTGTTTTAATAACTCTGTGCTGTGTTGGTATGCACAGTGACGAAGCCTTCCCTTTCCCATTCAACACACATGAAACCACGCACACGCATGAAACCAGCATCTCCATCATGAGTTTCATTTCTTTCTGGATTAGGTTTCTGCCATGTACCAGTTGGCTCACCTCTTTAGGAGCATTAATCACTTATATTAAGCAGATAAAACAGGCAGTGTGAATTCCCCTTGAGTAGTTCCCTATCTGAGTATTGTCTGTGAGCATTCATATTTTTTGCATTTGAGCAGGACTTTTACCTCTCATTTCAAGCCAGGTATATCTTCAGATATGGCAAAGTGGCCTGGAGATCACGTGAGTATCTCAGAAAAGTGTGCAAAACTTGTTCTCCTAGATGCCTACTTGCAGCTACTGGAACTGTGGAATGATACAACAATATGTAAATTACTTACTGGGTCTACAGTTAAAATGACACTGTAAGAAAACACTGCCTTGCTGGGGGAACAGTTCCTGGATGTTTCCTGCAATATGTGAGGAATCAAAAGGAATCACCAAGGACTGCAGAACCATCTTTGTGTACAACTCACGTGCAGCCACGTGCAGCTGAATTTCTTTCAGCTTATATAGAGTGTTGGTCATGTCCACCTATAGAAGGATTTATCATCCACACATATGGTGTCCACCTATGGGTGAACAAATGATCATGCATATTTAAAAGGCTTTTTCATTTGGGGAAGATGAAAACAGGAGCTCCTGCAGCAGAGTATGCACAAAGGAAGTATTTCACAGAGGTATCAATCAATAAATGAGGAATTGCTTTGGACATATTTCAACCATAGCAACTGTGCTCATCTGAGAGGAAGACTTTGATTCACATCAGTGAAAAGTGGCATGCAGAAAGTATGTGGGAGGCATACAGGAAGGATGGGTGAGGCATGTAGTAGAGAACAAAATAATTAGAGAATGAGAAGTGTTCAAGGATGCTTGTATATGATTAAAGTAATGAAAACAATAATAATAAACAAAAAAATTAAAAGGCCCTGCTTACACATAAAGCTTACTAGCTATTCTAGGGAAAGTGGGATAATGAGTAAAGTGCAGCATAAGTGGTCAAAGATGCCTAAAAAATGTGGTTTATTTCTGGACTTCAAGCACCACTGGTATAATGCATACAAAACCATTTGACTGTCTTGGACAATGTGCTAGAATTCCCAAACCTAATGATTTGAAAAATCACTTGCTTCTTCATTGCTAAAATCTCAGTCCATTACAATTAATCACCTGCTTGCATGTTGCCAGATGCAGACATTCCTTTATATCCCAATAATAACTTTCTACTATTTTTCTTCAGATAATGGGCAAGCAATAAGTAGATGATACACCTATCCACAGGTTGCTGATTGATTTAACTAGGTTCTAGGTTAAAAAATTAGAAGACTGCATTGCCAGTAAGTCTTTACCCTGCATTCTCCTGCAGATGTTTGGAGCAAGAGTAACATCCAGTGGTCAAAATGTTAATTGCATTATATTAGGGCATTGCATGCTGGCAGAATCTTAACTGCTGCATCTTTCTTGCAACAAAAAAGCTGGTGAGTGCAAGCCTTGAAGACTCGGAGATCGTGCTTACGTTGCACAAAGTAAACTACGTAGAGTAACAGATCAGTATTCCTACAAGGTTGGTGTGTTTTTCCTGCTCGTGCCAAGTGAGAAGTACTGACCTTTAAGTTTGTAAATGCTAAGACTGAGGACTTTCTGGATGGATAAATGCACCTGCACACAGATACCATACACCAGGCCATATTCTAAGGAAAGAGGGAGGAAGGGGAATGGGAGGAATGTGCTGTAACCTTGGTCTGATGTCGGTGGAACAAAGCCCTGAGCACGGGGTAGTGCAGACTTGTCCCTTGCTCAGGGACCTCAGGCACCAGGTACAGCTGAAAACAGCGGAACTCTGTCCTGGAAATAGGATGTCAGCACTGCAGGGAGGCACAGGTGGAGTTTGACTCCTACAGTCAGGGTGGTAGGAGAGGGGATGTCCTTAGAGGAGGCTGAGACCTATCTGATTATTGGTGAAGGCACAGAGTTTGAGCCGTGGGAGGTGGAATCTGCCTTCCTCCTCCTCAAATGCTCTTTATCATCACCTGGCCTGAGCTGTGAGAAATAGGGTCAAAATAGGAGTCCCACACTGAGAGGACAAGCCCTGCTTGTGCTTTGTGGACTATAAGAAACAAGTGCCCTCAGATAAAGACTCTGCATGTGCTCAAGGGCATGAAGAAAGGAGGTGAGTTTCTACTCTCAGCCAGGAGAAGCAGCTTAATTAATATCACAGCAAGTTAGGGAGCTGCCAGGTGTTCGTGGGGGAGCAGTAGGTTTAATCTTCCCAGCAACACAGAGAACAGTACCAACCAAAGAGCAGGGAGCACCTTGTCTGGTCAGGAAAAGAAGAACGTGAAGACAAGACCATGAGACCAGGATGTCAGAAATCTATCAGGTGGTAGCTAAAGTTAGACATTTAGGGCTAATTTTTCCCTGGAACTGCAATAAGGGATAAAAATAATAATAATAAAAAATAGGTTTTAGGACGTCTAATGTTCACATCCTTGTGCTGTGTCAGCACAGATGAAGAATTGCGGGACCAAACCTGGATGCAACTTTGCAGCTTTATAAGTGTGCCTATAAACTCTGCCTTTCATGGACAAGGTGCTCTGGTCCCCCCAGCACCAGCAAAATTGTTTTGCTGCACTCCTGTGGTCTTTCAGTGCACCATTGCTCTGTGACCTTCAGGCTATAAAACTTTTCTGGGGCAGTTAATGATTCTCCCTGCTCCCAGACAAACATTAGCCAAGGTAGAGGGGAACCAGCTGCAAGGTCTGTCTCACTTACTTTTCTTTATTTATTAATGGCAGAAACTTTGCAGCTTTCATGCACAACCATGATTCCCTCAAGTGCTGCAAAGAGAAATTTTCCCTCATCATCTTTCCTATTGTGAATGTCTCCCCCCAAAACACTGTGAAAAGGTCCGATACTGAGGCATATACAGGGAGAGTTCGTCCCAAGGGCAAGTATGTTATTCGGATTCCAGGCTGCCTCACATGCCTGTGTGGACATACTTTCAAAACTATTTCTGTCAGGTTCATACTATCTGACATGAAACAAAGCATCTCCATGAACAACAATCTTTTACAGAAGAGCTTCTCACTGCTTCCCTAGGAACGCATTGGGGATTTTCCACCTCAAATGTGTTCAGTGCAGCAGTGCTCTCTATGTTGTGCTGTGCTCTGCATGCCACACGATTGCTCAGCAAGTCTTGATGGAATACATGGCACAAGTAACTTCACTCCAGTTTTTGGAACAAACTGAAGGGTTCTTTTCTCCCCACCCCACCCAATTGCTCAGCAATCTTGATGGGATACATGCAACAAGTAACTTCACTCTAGTTTTTGGGACAAACTGAAGGGCTCTTTTCTCCCCACCCCACCCAACTGCTCAGCTAGGCTGTGACACTTTCAAACTGCCAGCAGACAGCTATAGGATGGCAGGTCTTCGTGCTGTAATGGTGTTGGGGCACTAAATGCCATTGCTGGTGTCTCCAGATCTCTCAGGTGTTTTCTTCAAGGGAGAATGAAGGCCACAGAGCAGGTAGATGTAGAGTACAGGGTCATGTGAACCTCTGACACATAGGCTAATCCTCACTGTGTGGGAGCCCAAAGCACCATAACATCTTCTGTCTGATGCATGTTAACAAAGCTGGCATTGCTGCTCTTATCCTGAGATAAGAGTACCCCCTCCTCTCCTGCAGAAAGCAAAGAAGCCTTCTACTGCCTCACAGAGCAAAACTTGTTTAACTCTCACCTCTGAAGACAAGACTGAAAGCACCTGGGAAAATGAGATGTACACAGCATGTATTAACTAGAAGATTAAGGCTACAGAGCAGTACCTATTTCAGATCATAATTGTGCTCTGCATCCTGCACAACGCATAGAAAAGCAAAGAAAAGAACTTTGCCATGGCTGGGATGTAAAGGCTCAATGACTTTCTAGAGGTTTTGATGTCCCCTCTGAAAACCTTACCATGTGGGACACATTATATGGAATGCATACATCCTATGGTGCACCACATTTGACTGTATTAGGAACCACCAGTGGGGCCTGTTGTGCTTTTGGTGGCCCGTGAATATTGTCCCTGGGCTGGGGAACAAGGCCAAGGTGCATTCATAATCCATACAAAGGCTGTCCTGAAAATGCTTTGTGAACGCTCCATGAGAAACCCAAAGTGTTCATAAAAATATTCCTATGCTTAAACAGAATCCAACTTTAGTATACCTAAAGCACACCTACTAAAAAAGCAGCAAATGTGCAAACACTGATAACATGTACACTGTGGAGACATTTAAATTAATGAATAAAAGTGATTTACACTGAGACAATGGAAGTTTGGGAAAGGGCTGACAGCTGCAGTGGGTACGTTTTCTCTCTGACTCTGTGCAGGAATCTCTTCTGCCTGGAGCAGCACAGCTCTGAGAGACAGCAAGGTAAGAAGTTGGCTCATTCCAGGTTGCTTAGTTTCTGTGGTAACAATGCTAAAAATCACATCCCATCCCATTCTGGAAAGCCATGTCCCAAGGACACTGCACATATATGCAAGACCCTAGAGGCAGTGAGTCCTTTTCAGACATTCCTCTCAGGTTTCATGGTATGCTGATACAGGAAAGCACCCTGGCATGAAAATCTGGTATCTAATGGGCTGCATACTGGCTGCCTACTGCTTTACATTTTATTGATTCTTGGCAGAGGCTGCACTGGTTCTGTGGCTACAGAACTAGAAGTCTAATTAGAAGCATAAGCAAGGGAGGTCTAAGGGATCATCTGGGTGACAACTGCTTATGAAGGCAGGCAAATGGGTTCTAGGTGTTAGTACTCTGCAAGCTTTCTTGCCTATTAGACAACATGTTCTGAACCATATAACAACCAACACATGAAGTGCACTCGTGAACAGTCAGAACCAGGCACAGTGCAGTGTCAGTGCTCATCACACCTCTGCCTCCTGCCCGTGTGCTCAGCCAGGGGCAGCACAGGCATCTCTCCCCATCTGGCAAAAGGGAATATCTGTCTATCAGTAATGAGAGCACCTCGCTAGAGCCCTCTCTGAGTCTGAAATACATTTTATCTCCCCTGTGGCCATGATTAGATTCCTCATACAGTCATCAGTTCTGCTCTGCAAGCAGTTCCAGAGTCAGAGGGGTTTGTTGCTTTGCTTTGCAATGTGATCCTTCCTTGCACTTTGCTTATTACCACAATAAGAACAACAGTAAATGTGATGCTACATAAGAAAGGCTGTACTATCAAAAGCTTCTTAGTGAAATAATATTTTCACAGAAAGCAAAATAGCTTGCTATGATTTGTGAAGATAATAAATTAACCCAGGCTTTCTATGCTGATTTTTTCTGTGCTAATTCCCAGCACAGCCAAATAGCACAATTCACAGCTCTTTTGTCTGTAGACACATTTCAAGGCCATTTAAGTAGAATGAGGTGTGGGTGTGTAGGCTGATTTGTTTAGTGTTTCCCAGCTGGTCCCATCCTCCTTTCTGTCCTTGAGTTTCTCAGCTATGTCTGAGATAAAGTATGGATTCACTCTGGGGTCTCATGCCAAAGTCCTGCTGCAGGGCAGCAAGGGCTGGTTTTGTCTACTACACCTCTGAAAGCCATTTTCCAGACTTGTCTTAGGCACCTGCAAATGTAACCAGAATAACATGGGAGTGCAAAATGATGCAGGAAAATGCTTGTAGTCGAACCAAATATTGTGATTTATAGGTGCAAGATAAGTGTTTCTCCAATGTAAAATTATTCCCAAACCGAAGAGCAATAAAATCTTTTGTCAGGTCTTCAATTCCACTGATGTCAGACACTATTTGCACATACCCCTGCCTCTGAAATGCAGAAGTCTTTGGCCCCTACAAAGGAGGTTTAAAGGTAAGCTCCCGGCCTGCAGGTGGGGCATTAGAACCATCGCATGATAGCACCAGGTCCTCCTAAGACCTTCAAATTCCTGCATGTCCTAAACACATCTGCAAAATAGAGCCCCCACCTCTCCTACCCCACACTGGAGAGCAGCTGCAGTTTGTTGGGAAATATACTACAATTAATACTACAGAAAGAAGAACAGGAGGAGAAACACTAGCTGCAAACATTAAAAATACTTTCCTGAAATACTTTATCTAAAAACCTTGAGAGTAACATTTTATTTCTCCAAAGTTTAAATTTGTCACTAAAGTAGTCATGGGAATGCAGCATGAAAGTTCTGTCGCTGCTTGTGATTCAAAACAAAGTGTAGTTGTTCAAAATCTTTGAACCAGTCCAGGATTTATAATACTTGTAAAGCTGGTTTAACTAGACTGGCAGAAGGTCAAGGTCTTGCTTTTAGAACTCAAATTTGAGTGTTACCCTGAACAAAGGCGTTCCTTTGAGAAAGAAGACCCTGTAGTGCAGACTAAGGCTGTTGCTTTTCTTTTTACAAGGAGACACTTTGTGACTGTGTGTTCTGTTAAATGTACCTCAGAGGATTTCATACACTTCTAGTTTCCAGGTCATCTCTTCCTCAGGAAAAAGAAATTAAGGGGCAGGGGACTTATGGCAGAGGCTGATAAAATCATGGTTGATGCAGAACATAAAAGCAGATAACTTTCTTTAAGAACACAAAAAATCACAAGGCATGAAACAAAACAGTTAAAACAAGGGAAAGTACTTCTTAGTACCATACAGCGTTAAGCTGTAAAGCTCCTTGTTACAGGACACCAGGAGTCTAGGAAGTGCTTATAAGTTCAGGGAAGAATTGGACAAAAAAAAGGAAGAAAAAGCCATCAAATACTGTTTAGTATGAATCACCCCTTCTATCTAAGGTGGTCCCAAGGTGCAAATGTCTGTAGACCAGAAAAGTACTTTACATAGTATCTAAGTTTTTTTCCTGGGTTTATATTCTTCCTTTAGCACCTGCTATTGTTCAGTGTTTTGCTTTATGTAAAAAAGGGATGGAGATGAGGAACAACAAATCAAACATATAAAATTATAGAATTGCAGAGCTTGAACACGAGTACCCTCAACAATAGCTGCTGCTCCCTGTCAGTGAGCAGCTGAGAACTACCCCTTGGTGTACTGGCCACTGTTGTCTGTTTCCCCTTTTAGGATGTCCAGCCCTAAAAATATTAAATGCCCTCTTCTCATCTCATTCTGCCCAAAAAAAGGGAATGCTGAATCATGGCAATGCATAGTAGATGACAAACACTGGGAAATCTTTTATTTCTATTTCCTTTCTCCTTTTTATTTTCCTAATTCACTGAAATATCCTCATTTCCTGAAATATGCAGCTATGACTCCCAGTAATTGAAATTTTTTAATTGTGGTTTGAGCTTTTTAGGAAGAGAGAATAAAGATTCATGTTAATTGTCTGCATGTTTCCCCATCCCAACCTCTACCTTGTTGTTGTGTTCATGGAGACCTGGAGTTGAGAAGGAAGGTAAGTAGGGATGGGATATTTTCGTTGTCATATATACAAGGTATGTTGTCTGTATCTTTAAAAGAGGGAAAGGACTAATCTAAGTGCCATTAAAATCTCTACGATTTTATTACCCTTTGCTAACCTTATACCCTTTCCAAGACTAGTCCCTGTTTGTTTCACAGAACAGTGCTACTCGAGAGTGGCTGGAGCAGGAAACTGGTGTGCTCTCCTCCCTGCAGCACCAGCTCAATCACATCTGTCAGCATTGCAGAGGTACCCTGAGACCATGCAAGACCCTTATCGTACATAATCTTCATCCTAAGACTAAATTACATGACAACTGGTAGCCCAATCTTTCAGGCCCTTGGTTCATATGAGTATCTCCAAGAGCAGAATTTAAGTATTTGAACCACCTATGGGACCGAGCTCTGGAGAAGGGATTTGTGAATTTTCCATGCTTGGTTCAAGGTGACTGTGAAAAGCACACAGTGTATTTTATCAGACTGGTCATTTCAGCTGGTGTCTCTCAGTTGCCACAGATGTGGTCACTCTCCCTGTTCTCCAGAGTCGTTCACAGCTGGTTTGTCACATGCCCAGGGAACCTCCCCACCGCAGAGATGCCACGTGTGCAGAGAACATTCCCCAGCTTCTCCCTCAGTGTGGGCAGATGTTGAAGCTGGCAGAAAAGCAGACCAAAGGCCTGTTTTTCTAGCTATCAGGGGATGGTTATTATCTTCGCTCATATTCCTGCAGAGATGGAACACAGCCCCACCACAACCTTTGTCGTTTCTCAGGGACCTGCTTCCTAGCACAGCTCTGGTGGTGCTTAAGCAAGATGTAGCTCCAGGCAGATTTTGGCTCAGGATCTATTTTTGGCCCTGCTCCTTTTCAAGAATATAATCTGCTAAATTAAATCTAACATTTTCTCCCGAATAAACAAACCACTACATTTTTGCCTTTTGCTCCAAACATACCTTTTAATTATAAGGGAAGAGGGCTTGGCAAGTCCAGCTAAAGATGGGCCCCTGAGTAAACAAACAAGCGAGTAAAAGAGCTCTTCATGAGGTTATCTTTATAGAAAGGACTATTTTTAATCTAATTTTGAGATCTAGTTTATGTATAAGGTACCAAAATAGCAGAGCGGGGAATAATGAATATTCTGAGGCTAGCAATACCACACTCAGAAATTAAAATTTGTAACAAAAATGCAGCAGGGGAGAAACTTCAAAGGATCTAATGAAGTCCACCACACAAGCCCCCAGTCTTTGAAATGCCACCAGATCAATACCTGTGTGAGAAGAACAACAGTGTTGTCTGAGAGCATTGTGATTTTTCCAGATCCACTCTTTTTTCCTCTCCCCCCAAGAAAACCAGATGTAAATAGAGATATTTTTTGCTTTAAATAACTCTTACAAGCCAATGAGATTTGCTTTGCATTTTTGAAATTCTGTAGAATGTGTTCCAATATCTAGTGTTTTCTTTAAAGCCTCCAGGAATTATTTGGTTGTGAGGAATTTAAACCTTTGGTTTACAATAGCATTTTAGAGAAAATATCTCCTTTGCATTTGAGAAAACCTGAAAATGAAAACTTTCAGCCACTAGAGTTAATTATTTTAAATTCTATAGTCAGATAAAAACACACTATCTCCTTTTATCCTTCAAAATGTATGTGCTGATTTTAGGAGCAATGGGTCTGGGGGTTCAACCATATTTTATTTGAATTTAAAACTAAGTTATTTACAAATCCTATTTGAAAATTACTTTACACTTTTACAACAGAAGAATCTATTAAAAATAATTAAATAAGAAGAATGTTTCACAAAATAATGAAAATTACAGTTTCAAACATGTTGCAGAGTCTATGATATAATTCTTCCAATATGTATTGCAAAGTACTGAATGATTTTCAAAGGCAATAAAAACTCAATAGATCTGCCATTATAAGGAACAATATTTTCCTTTTTTAGAGAATAATATTCCCAGCTTTTTCATCAGACCCTTGTTTGAAAAGTCATTTTAGCAGTTTAAGCTGAATCCTGAAAACTACTGACTTGGCCAGGCTCAGTCCTTTTTGGAAAAATAAACCAAGTCATCACTGACTCCAGTTGCCATCATTTTGCCAAACCACTCACTGGGAAAAATCATGGCAGTGGGTTCCAGTAAAGTTGTTTTTTGTTAATTGTTCAAATTAAAATATTTGTGTTGCATGGGTAAGACTTTTTGTTTTGTAAAATAGGTAAAAGTATCCAAATGGATAATTATGCTCTCCTGATCATTGATGCAGCAGCAGAAGAGGAAAGGAGAAAATTATTTTGTGATGCTCTGAAATGCTAAGGTAGAATCGGTACAGTCAGTCACAAGATGAACCAAAACTTAACACAAGCTGCTTTACAGTGTGAAACAATCAGTGCTTTAAAATGCTGGGCTTCGTGTGAAAGAGAAACAAGGAGAAAACAGCACTGAAGCTCTTTCTGAAACACTTCCAGTAGAGATGACTCTCTAATTTTGCCTGCCAGAGATAAGAAAGTATTTAATGACTTAATTAACCACCCTTCCCATGAAAACTATCACATTGCAAAATTTCCATGGCCACCTATGAAGTGTTCCCCAGGGCTCCCAGGAGCGGTGGCAGCTGGGCTGGGAGCCCTGGAACCCTCTCCAGCCCTTCCAGGCCAGGAAGGGGCAGGCAGCCAGAGACAGCATGGGGGAGCAGACAGCAAAGCAAAGGGAGAGCCCTGCGGGGAGCAAGGGTGGCAGGGAGAAAGGACGGGGAAATGTAGCAAGTTCAAATGCATAAATAAATTACATGAGCAGATATAAGGGGGGGAGTGCAGGCACCACACTGCAGTTGATGTCACTCCAGTTCCTTTTTTACTCTTTCATTTACCTTATTGCTGAGAGTATGCAATTGCTTTTATTACAGCACTTGAAATAACTGGAAAAATAAGCAGCTTTGTGATTCAGAATAATCCTTCTCTCCCTCAAATATTATCCCTATCATATTTCCACAGTACTAGAGCTCTGACACTGCTACCACTGGAACTCCATGTGTCAATACCTCCTCTGTCATTCATCCTCCCATCATTCCTGCTAACCCCCATGCCCTCCTTTTGAGGGGCCCCTCTGCCTCAGACCAAAGGTCTGCTGGCCCTGCACCACCTCAGAGGCACCTGAAGCAGCATCCACTGTCTCCAGCCCCACTGTGGCCCAGGTTGGATAGAGAAGGAACCACCTGCCAACATATGATGCACTCATCAGGACTAGAAGAGAGGAGTGAAAAATTTCAAGAGAAACAAAAAAAATTAAAAATCCCAGAGAAGATGAAGGGGATAAAAGCATTGAAGCCCTCAGGGCATCCACAGCCCTGCCCAGCCTTGTCAGCCATGCTGGGCTCCCCCCACCTGCCCAGGGCCCAGGACCCCCATCAGCCCGCCCCAGGCTACGAGCCACCACCCCCACAGCCCTCCAGCTCCCCACAGCCCTGCCCTGTTTGGCCAGGGGTCCCACCAAGCCATGCCCATGTCCCAGCCTGTCCCCATCCCCAGGGAGGTGCCCACTGCCCAGGGCTGCCCTGGTGCCCTCAGCACCCTGTTCCTGGCTGGGGCAGTGGGATGGGCCCAGCCTAGCAAGCGGGTGGGCTGTAAAGTCACCCAACAGGAGCACAGGAACCGACTACTGTGCTCACCATTTGCCTCTGGGATGTGAGGAAACGTGCCATCCAAGGGGTACTGAGGTGGCTGAGTCAAAGGAAGCCTTTGGCCCAGCCCTCCAGGACAATCTGAAATTCAAGAGCCAAGTTCCCATCTTGCCTCTTCCCCACCTCCTATTGTTCCCAGTGTTTTCCTTTCTCTCTGAGCCCCTTCTCCCTTGGATCAAATCTGTCCTCTGGTGAAAACAAAGCCAAAATTCTGTCTCTTCTGGGTCCATTTTTATTTCATGAAAACAGAATAGCACATTAGCTACAGCAGTGGAGCCTTAGATGTTTTTTACTCTTTTCCTCCTTACGTAGCCTAAAGGAATGTTCGTTCACATCATTAACCATCCTACAGGCTGTGCCAAAGGAGGTTTTAATGTTCTTTGTGGCTTGGAAGAAATTATATGATACTTTGTCCAAATGAAAGTGCTAGTAAATACTTCAGATGATCCATTCTAGATGCCTTTTGTATATTTACAGGCTTTTTAATAACAGGTTGAAGGTGCATAAGGATGGTTGTCACCCTAAGAATAAGCAGGCTCTCCTCTCCACATTCTCAATTCACAGTAAACACATTCAACTGTGGCAGGATCATATTTCCACCCTAGATGCTGTAGCCCATTTATCCCATCAAAGTTAAGCCCGCAGAGCATGCCTGTGAGATTCAGGAGGTACCATATTGAAGTCTGATAGAGGGTGTAAGAGCAAGGACACCTGAGAGAACACAAACACCTTCCCAAATAAGGGTCTGGACACCTCAGAAGAGGTTGCTGAAGGAATGGAAGAACAACGCTGTTCCTTTCTATCTCTTCTTCCTTGTGTGACTTGTTTCCATCTTTTATCAGCAGGATCTCTATTCCAAATATTTTTCTTCTTAACAACACCCTTTCCTTGGGCGTTTCTTCCCTAAAACCACATTATTATTTCTTTGAGAACAAAAGCCCTTAACTTCTCTTGGCAGGATTAGGAAAGATGCAGCTTAAATTATCAAAAGTGATATTTCATTGATATGGCTAAGATCAATTTCCCTATTCAACTATACTACAAGATAAGTTTCATTACTCTTCTAAGTCCACACAGTTTTCACAGATTCAAGATATGTAAATTAATTTGCAGTTTGGGGCTGTTCTTGTATTACACTTTCAGCCATAGCTGTGCTGACAGTCTGCTGATCAACCTATATTTCATATATCATCTTTAGAATGGCCTTGCTACTCTGTCACATTAATTATTTCTTTTTAAAATTTCCTGTTTCCCAGGAGAACGTGGAGCTTGGCTGTCTAGCCTTCCCTATGGTTCTTTCCCTTCCATGTTCATGTGCTCTAAAAGTAAACTTTTGCAATATTTAAAGCAAAGGTCTCAGAGAACAGACCACAGCCTCTCACCAGCTCTAATTAATCCCTGGAGCAGATCACAGACTTCACAATAACGAGATGATAAAAGTGAAGACCACACCTGGTGTGTATAAAGAAGCCTCAGTTAAAAATGAACAAGCTGTGGAAAGGTGGTGGGTGTCTTTTATGACATCCAATCCTGGAGAGAATGTGGACAATTCTGTCAGCAGTTTTCCAGATATACCTTTAGGACTAACTTAAATTCCTTCCCTTTTTGTGCCTACGGGTATTGTATCAGTTCCCTTTGACACCCAAGCTCTAAAAAGCTCCAATAACTCTACAGAAAACTGCAGGGTGTAGTAGAGACGTAGTTTTAATCAGTGCCTGCAGCCCAGCTTCCTCAGCAACTTATTTGTATGTGGTTCATCTCACAGCTGATCTCTGAACACAGCTAAAGCTTCATCTTAGGCAGCTCTATTAGCTTCTAGCTCTACATGCTGTCAAGCATGTTCCAATCTGCTTCTCCCTTCCCAGCGTATTGTGCTCCATTTCAAAGCTGATGTTTGTGGACAGAGAAGCCTTAAAAAAGATGAACTCAGAGTAGGATGTTCCCTGCAGAAATCAGAGGCAAAGGTTAAAGAAAAGGTAAGCTATAGTCCATACCTTGTTAAGGTATAGTGTATTCAGGTTTTAAAAAAATGGTTTTGATGAGGCATGTAGTTTAAAAGTTGACCTGCTAGGCCAAAGGGCTTCCACACATCAAGAGATGTAGTTGACCTTGAGCTGCACACGCCATGAGAACCTCCCCAGCACTTCTAATTTTCTGAAGCTGGATAAATCCTCTCAGAAGTCTGTATTTGAAGAGGCTTTTGGCTTGGCACAATGATTTAATCACATTTCACAGACTTGACAGAATGTTCTGAGTTGGAAGGGACCCACAACCTTCATTGAGTCCAACTCTTAAGTGAATGGCCCATAAGGGGATCAAACCCACAACCTTGGTGTTATTAGCACCATGTTCTGACTAACTTTGCCCAGGTAAGTTTTATCTTCCATTTATTTGTGCAATATTTTAATGGCTTTGACTTTATGACTTTCAGGCATCTAAAGTGCTGCAGTAGATAGGAGCAATAATGTTTTTTATTAGAAAGCCTTGCCAATTTGGGTTTTGGGGTTTTATCAGACTTTTCCAGCTCCTGATTTGTGGTCCAGTGACTGAACTGTATGTCCAGTGCATTTTCTGATAGATTTTTTTTTTCTTGGGTGAAAACAAGAGGACAAATTCATTGTGACAAATACTTTTCATTTGTATCCAACCTGGGCCTTTGAGAGCCCATGTACAACCACAATAATGTTCCTTTAGAAACATAACTCCTATGTAAGGGCATACTGAGTGCCCACCTGCTTTATGAACCAGTCCCTTTATGAAGCAGGGACTGTACAGTGACTTACAGCTTGAAGCTGTAGGTCAGGGTTTATGCATGCTTTTTTCACTAGAAATACTCTTCTTAAGCAGGATCCCAGGCTGGCCTGATACCACAGTACCCTGGCTGCCACAGAGCTTGAGCTGATGGAGAGGAACCCAGTGCTGGGTGACTTCAGCTACCATTATTAATTTTGAAGAGTTTCCAGCCAAATTGTCTCCTACCTCACAGCTTCAAGGAGATATCTTAAGCCTCCAGTTTTATTCAGGCTTCCCTCTGGCCTCCACATTTACAAAAGCTTGCTGAGCTAATATTGTTACTTTATATATGGTAGCAAGTCCCTTTTCACGTAATTAGGAGATAATCGAAGAATCATCTCATTAGCATAGCTGCTACTCGTTGTCCAAACAAAATGAGTTGCACAATCAAACTACTTTTTTGGCTAACATAACCTCAAAAATTGCAAAGTTCCCCAGCCTTACTATATTAATTTGATATGTTATTTGTACATATCCCTAGCAGTACCATAACAGTGATAAACATGCCAGTGCAGACCCAGACTTCAGGCAAGTCTTGCTGCATTTAACAGAATGCCTGCAAATTGTCTGCAAATTCTTCCCATTCATTATGGCAGATATTGTGTTGAAGGGAATAAGCACAAACTAGGTAAGTACATTAAGATTCATCTCTTCGTGCTTAACCTGGTACCGTAAAGCATCAGGGGTTTTTTTTCAGGGTTTTGGTTTTTTTTCTTAAGATGCTAGCTAATACTCTCACACAAGAAGGTAACATGGTAAAATTTTCACGGGTGATAGTAAATCATGCTTTGCATTTATTGATTTTTTTTTTTCTTTTGGCAAATAGTTGGTTTAAAGCAACTCATCTTTTTAGCATGGGTTAACATTTCACAAATATAGAAGTATGGAGATTCCCCTCTAACGGTCTACCTAAAAGAGAACAATTTAAAATCATTCAACTGAAGACAATAGCAAGTCTAAGATTAAAGCTGAGGTAACAACTGGAAATAAATTAATCAGCATGGTCAGCATATTCTTCAGCATTGCTGTGTAAGTAACACAGTTGTAGTAAACCTGGCCCTGGCATTTGACAGTGTTCTTGTTGTTTTGTCCCATATTCTGTGGCAGTATTTGCTGGTAATGTATTAGCAGAATTCACCTTCCCAAGGCATGGAAACACTTTTTTTAGGTCCTGACATTATAGACGTATCTTGAATCAATAGAGCTGGCCACTTACTGCGAGAATCGGAAATACCATGGAAGGTAATTGCTTCACAGCAAATGACTTCACATAATTTGATAATCGCTAGGTCTCAGGCATTATTCCTGCTGTTAATCCATTGTGATTTATTGTCCATTTCTACTTCATTTATCATCACATTATTGTTCCAAGGTTTTTTGTGATCTTTGGTTCTCAGAGCCCAGCTGCACTTTTCATTGCTGGCAGTTCAAAAAAAAAAAAATTTAAACAGTTGAAATGCTGTGCCCAATGAATATGTTTCATTTGTACTGTGCCTGGAGGGTGTCCTGGGCAGGCTGCAGTTATCTTTCCACTTTTCAGTCCTTGTGGTAAGTCAAAAGGAGTATGTCGATAAAACTCCCTTTTCTGGACAAATAATGATTAGATTTTTCTTCCCTTCCAAGTCTGGCTACAAATACACAGCACTGTGCATCTTCGTTGTGCAGCTGACATTTGTTGAGCATGTAGTGGAATGTTTTGAAAATATACTGTTATTCAGTACTTGTGTTTTCCATGCTTCTTGGTGTTTAAGGGTTGTCAGCTTCAACCACTTTTGGCAGTAGATAAAGACAGTACTGTCTGACCTGCATTTCCTTCTACTCTGTTTTAACATTTTAATTCTGTTAATATTTTTCTAGGATAACCCCGCTTGAGGGCGGTTGGACCAGATGACCCACTGTGGTCCCTTACAGCCTTACCCATTGTGTGATTCTGTGATTCCCAAGTGGGAATTACCCTTTGGAGATGCAGGTGAGAGCTCCCAGATCCTGCTGCAGGTGAGGAGAGGGAAGAGTGGCTACAAAGCAGGCTCCTACACAGTTTGCCCAGAGCTACAGAGCTGTAAGTGGGCTCTATGCACACCCCGGGGAGCAAGCAGGACAACCCCAAAATGACTCTTTGCCTGGAGCTTTCTCTCCAGAGTTCCTGCACAGTATTTTCACAGCTGTCACCCCTTCATGTGAAATAAGATTTTGTGTAAACAAGGGGCAGAGAGGGCTTCCCTGTGCCAAGGTGGCAAGGATCAGCACTGGGGCATCGAATAAGGCTCTTTTTTCACCCCAGAGCCTACGGTGCGTTTGCTGGATTGTTTTATAGGCACTAAGGCAGGAGGTGCACATGACAGCTCAGAGCTGAGTAACCTCTGATGAGGCTCCTCCTGTTTGCCTCTAAGTAAAACTGAAATAGCTGGAGCTGAGCTGCATCAAGGCTCAGAACAGAAGGAGGCAGCATTTCCACCAGGTTGGATTAAATGACCGTCAAAGCTGTAGGATGACACTCTTCATCATTAACAAAGCACAAGCAGAATTCCAGCCTGTGAGTGACTTGGGTAGTGGAGATCATTCACCATGCCAGATGGTAACATGGTAGCTGGACTACTAGATAGGTTACTTAGTCAATGGATTACCTCTAAAGTTGCAGGAGGAGAAGGCATCTTCTCTCTTGTGCCTGCAGAATGGCAGGAGGTTGAGGCTTCATTTTCCTTTCTAGTGAATGCGGTTTTCTTTGTGCTATACACAGGCTCCTGGCCTATGTTTAGGAATCCATGGCCATTAAAGATGCCCAGTAAGATAGGTAAAACTGCAGGCATTTGTTTTGACAGAAATTCTTTCTGCCTAAATAAGACCTTTGTTTCAGCTGACAATTCAACAGAAGGCTTGCCTGTGCTTTACACGCTTGACATTTTTTGTGGCTAAAGCCAATTTTACATGGTAGTAATACATCATCAGGAGAGTACTGAATTTTTTTCCTTGACCTTCTGTAGTTCCTGTTCCCATTTTTAGAAGTCATTTCAAATGTTGCTGTTGGTTATGTTCCATTTATGTTCAACCTGTTCCTCATGTCGCTGCTGTCATTCATGCTAGCTAACTATGGAACTGAGAATCAAGACTTTTGTTTTCAATGAAAGTCCATTTTAAGTCTCCTTATCTGTCACTTATTAGTTGGAATTTCAGCATTACCCGAAGCACAGGTAAGGTGTTTTTCTCTTTTTATTCATTGCTTGGTATATGCAAGTTGCAATCTACTTCTCAGAAAGGGTTTTCCTACAGTGCAGCCAATGATAATTTGTGGATTGTGGGTAAAGCTCATATTTTTTTCTGGTAAAACTGTGATGTAACACTCACCAATAGTGATAGAGTTGCATCCACAGGTTCCGATGTCCCTATGGCTTTTCTTTCTATCCCTTTTTGAAGCAAACGTGTCATAGCCATGATGTTGCCACTTTCTGGTAGGGTGGGCAGAATTTCGCTTCTTCTTCTCCCCTCATTCCTAAGCCAGAGATGTGAAGATGCTGGAAGAACTCTTTCTCTGGGCCTCCCTGCCAAGAGCTGCTCTTGTCACCACTTCTTGTCTGCAGGCTTCATACAACTGCTCATTTTTCTGAGGGATGAGCATCTAGAGGTGACAGTTTCATTACTCAGAGAACTCCAACTGACAGGCAAGTCTGTCACTAAATTTAGCATTTTCTATCCTCTGCTACAG